TTATATATAGTGATTAACATTTAGAATAATTTTACACTAAAGTGTGCATTAATTATAAAGTAACTAATATCCTATCATTAAAATATATTGAATTATGTGATTGAATCTTTTAATTAATTTTAATTAATACTATAAAACAAAAGAAGGTATTTTAGCTCGATAGTGTATAGATAATAATTGCTCGCACACGTCTACGGATATCATGTAATTAATACAAAATACGTCTCGTATCGTATTTGTAACTAAAATATTCACTGTCACTGTAATAAAAACTAGTTTTAGATCAAATCAAATGGAATTTACGTAAGAGATATTAAAGAGAGATGAAGAATTAAGAAGGGTTAATGATCGTATTTTTTAAGATAGTCGATGTTATTTAACAATGTTCCTCCGTTTCGTTACCTTTGTATTACACTGTTCAGAATAATAATTATTTTTTAATACTTCAAACATTCTTACAAAACAGTACTCTATTGCTACGTTTATTAAATATTTCAAAACCTGATTTTTTAATTATTTTGAGCAGTGTATAATGATAACGATTTTACACAAATATGTAAAGAAAAATCAATGAAATATCATGATATAATTTTTTTAAAAACCTTATACTATGTTGGGATAAAGTTCCGAATGATCCCAGTCGCCGATCATGGTGGGAGGGGGGAGGGGACCCCAAATATAAAGTGGTATCTTCGGCTTCCTATTAGTTTCCGAGATATTAATTAAAAACTTTCGGTACAATACATACAGGGTGATCCTCTCGCTACGCTACCCGAAAGGAAGTTCCGCCACAATAGAATCAAGAAGTCGACGTCCCATTTCTGTCATCGCTTACTTGACGGAGGTGGCCCCTGCAGCGAAGATGGCTGTGTGCGTGAAAATGTGTTAAGAAAATATTCTGTTTTCCGCAGCGTTTAAATGGGACTCTTCTGCTTATTACGCACATTTTTACGCACACAGCCGTCTTCGCTGCAGGGATCAAATAAGCGATGACAGAAATGGGATGTCGACTTCTACATTCTATTGTGGCGGAACTTCATTTCGGGTAGCGTAGCGAGAGTATTACCCCTGTAGAATTTTTCCTATACCTACGTAATTAATACAACCGTCTTCGCTGTAGCAACCGTCATCGTCAAGTGTCGAACTGACACCATAGCGATATCGGCTTCCGTTTCTATAGGGTGTCCCATGTAAAATCCATTTTTTTAAAAACTTTTTATAACTTTTTCCTTTCTTTGTCGTATGATGACCAAGCTAACTGACCAACCAACACAACAAAAGTCGTTAGGTTAGATTAGGCTAAATAAATTTCCGGCCGGCAACGCTACAACAGTCGTTGTATCTCCAAAGTTTTGAATAGGACACCCTATAGATAGTCAGGTTGGAACCCCTGCTGCGTCAACGGCTGTTCGGTACTTGACTATGACGGTTGCTACAGCGAAGATGGTAGTGTTAGTTATGTCTGCATAAGAAAAATTCTATATATTGTACCGAAAGTTTTTAATTAATTAATATCTTGGAAACTAATAGGAAGCCGAAGATACCACTTTATATTTGGGGTCGTCCACCTGCTTCCAATCAACCCTCCAAATAACATGTCGATCCGCGACCCGGGACATTCGGAACTACAGCCCTATGTTGCACCAAAGATTTGTTTTTTTACGTTTCTTTGATTGAGAAAGCAATATGTACAAATTAATCAATTTGGAACATTGCGTCGAACGGAATACTGTAATCAGACAATAAGGAATTGTAAACAGCAATCGCTTGCAAAGAAAAAAAATATTTTTTCGAATGATACCTAATTCAATGGAACCATTCGAAAGCTGAGGAAAATGTTGATCGACAATTAACACATATTAATTTTATGATTATTTTGCCAATTCATGGATCATTTCTTTGCATGTGATATTTTGTAATTTTTAATTATGCCTTTTTTACGATACTTAACGAAGAGATGTTACCAAAACTATATCATTGTATTGTCAATTACATCTTATAGAGTACTTTCTGGGAGTTTTATCTAAATGAATTCAATTTAATTCCGTCTTTTTTATACAGGGTGTTAGGACAACAGGTGGGGGATTTTTTAAGGGGTGATTCTAAGGATCAAAATAAGACGAAAATCAAGAATGACGAAATAGCGTTTGCGGCTTTGTTTTCCAGTAATTAACGTTTAAAAATTCGAGTAAAAAGCGCCTAAAACCTGCAGTCTGCCCAGCAACGACGACTGAACGTCAGGTCAGCAGGGGTAGATACAGTCAACCAAGAAGAGAAAGCTGAATGCTGCAGTACCGATGAACAGAATAGCACGAGGTAAGTTTCTACTATTCAATGATTCTTGGTTATGACTGTACCCACCCCTGCTGACCTGACGTTCAGTCGTCGTTGCTGGGCAGACTGCAGGTTTTAGGCGCTTTTTACTCGAATTTTTAAACGTTAATTACTGGAAAACAAAGCCGCAAACGCTATTTCGTCATTCTTGATTTTCGTCTTATTTTGATCCCTAGAATCACCCCTTAAAAAATTTTCCACCATCTTTTTTGGAACACCCTGTATAATCAGCACCATTATCAAATTGTACACAAAATGTATAAAATTTGAAAACTATTCTCAAGTCTGTTTAAAAAAACCCTCTATTATCGATTAAGCTAATTTGCTTACATCATTATCGTATCTTTCGAATATCCTAGTCTCTATCGACTGGAATGAGGAGAAATAAGTAATCGATTGTAATAAATGGTAAAACTCCTGTTTAAGGGGCCGCGCTCCAATGACCTTTACCTTGACCTTGACATATTATTTTATATGTAATAATAATTTTTTCTGATAATATAATCGTCGGTTATTGTTTACCTATTGAAAAGTTATTAACAATGAAAGATTGAAAATCGTACCATTATTTTGGTTTACGGACTGTTTATCGTATACCGATTCATGAAATACCACTTCAGCGAAAGCACATTTCACCGAATGAGACAATTCATCGAATGTTTTTGATCTTATTTTATGTTTTTGAGCCTACTTGCCATTTTCGTTTTGATTTTATTTTGTTTAATATCGTCATTTTTACATCTACAATTTGTTTCTATCAAGGTTAATTTTCCGTTATATGTTTCGCTTTGCCTATAACAAGCTCGGGCATTCTGCGGATCCTTCGGATCCGCGGGATGCAAGTTATGATATGAAATATCCCTCAGGCGACCGAAATCGCAATGACCAAAGTTAATTTGTCATTACATTTATACACCTGTATCTCTTAGGAGTACACACCGGAAGAGCAAAGTTCGGTTATCTCAATTTCGGTGAGATTATATTTAGGTCATGACCAGATACAATTTATGTAATGTGATAAGGAGTACCATAAATGTATTATCAATTTTCGATGAACTGTCAATTCGGGGAATTGTTTTCGGTGAATTGTCTCTTCGATGAATCATATTTTTAGGTGAATTAGCATTCGGTGATTTGTGTTCGATGAATTGTCTTTCGACGAATGGCATTTGGTGAATTGACTGGATACCGTTATTTTTCTCAATATCTGACAAATAAGCTTCACCTCTCCTTCGCATCTCCGCCTTTAAAAAAACTATCCTAACCCTACCTAATTTAACTTGATATCCATTTTGTAATCATAATCATAAAAAATAAAAAAAGGGACTGATATTAGGTTTCAATAGATCAGGATGTATTTAAGGGTGGGAGTGCAGGGGTCGGGGCTCTGTTTCTCTTCCCCTAACACCTACACCCCACCCCCAGCCCCGCCTTCTAGCCCCTTTTTTATTTTCCACGATTATGATCACAAAATGGATATCAAGTTATATTAGGTTAGGTTAGTTTTTTAGAGGCAAGGGAGAGACGAAGCCTATTTGTCAATTTCAATACTAGAATATTTCACTAATGTGGCTGCACTTCATGGGGAGAAAATTCACATTTAAAAAAAAATAACAGTACATTTTTCAGTTTTAATAAGCAGTGACCGATGGTTAAGTTATAAGGAAAAATTACTCAGGAAGATGTCCCATATAATACATGTCAAAGTCAAGGTCATTGGAGCGGGGTCTCCTAAACAGGAGGTTTTACCTAATAAAAATATACATATTGTTTACGTATATACCATTGTAGTTCGGTATCGAGTGAAACCGATGAAAATAAAAAAAATTATTGTACATTGTATTTTCTTATTTCGTAGAAGATATTTCATCCTTTACTTCTTAATTATAATTTATATGTACTTATATACGTGTTGTAATCATATAACAAGGTCGCCGAAACGATAACATAGCGTAAGAAGCAAACGGCACGTTGTCCCACCAAATTGATCATGGTTGTTTTGCAAGCGCGAAATGCAATAAAATTGTCACTGTGTCGGTCCCAACCATTCGACGAGAGAACACGTTCGGTAGAACAGCTGTTTTCATGGTCGGGCCAGTGAACTCCCCTCATTTATTGCACTTAGGTATGCATAATAGGCGAGGTATTTCCTCGTCAAATGTTTAAACTTACCACTAAATTAAACTAACCACTGAAATTATTTAAAAAAAAAATTTAAATGTAATTTTTTGTATTGATTATGAATCCTAAACTAATCTACAGCGAATTGAGCGATCGCGGTGTTTTGGCGACAAACGCGTTGCCATTCTTTTTATATGTTTCATTCTATATGTTAGCGGCGGCATATTTTGGAGCCTTGTCCAAAGCAATTAGCCAGGCGCTATTGTGCTATCGTACCATTTATGATAGGGACTTGAATTGCTGGTGACCAGTTCCGGTGACCAGGTATCAGCTATCAGGTATTGAAAGACTGTTCATATGAATGTAGAATGTGTAGAAAAGGCAAGCGGCCCGACGCTGTATTGCTAAAAATGTGGACTTTTTCCTGAAGAATTTAACTACGGAGTGGGAAAGGCATTGCCTTTTGGTAAGAAGACTGTGATGAACCCCACGGCACTTACCGTACAACCGTACATAGGAAAGGACAGTGCGATTTTCTACACAAAATGGCCAGTAAGAAACATTTTACCGAAATCGACAAAAATACATTCGTGGCAATATTAAAAAAGTTTTCGCATATAGTAGAAAATAAGAAAAGTGATAGTTCCACTCTAAAGTACAAAGAAGATGCGTGGCAGGAAATCACAGAACAGTTTAATATGTCTGCTGTGATTTCATGTAAGGTTTGTAGAATAAACAATATTATTTGGAACGCTACCATCCCGGAGCCTGCGCACTGTGTGCGCTCGTATTGGTCAGCGTTTTTCCTTAATAATTTCAAAACGAAGCGACTTGCACTCGTTCTGGGACACCCTGTAATATAAATTGTATTTTTCAGAGGAATGTTGCACAATTAAAAAAGATGTGGAGTAATATGAAGTCTGCTCAACGAAATGCAATTATGAGAGAAAGACAATCGCGATTGGCAATAGGGGGAGGACCTGCAGAACCTGGAGCAGAAATAAACCCAGAAATAGCAGAGATCGTGCCATTGTTAATGAAGAATGCGCCAACTATTTTATCGTCTAATTTCGCAGAAGAAGAGTTGGCGAACAGACGCGATGCTATATTCCATGAGGAATACATTTTGGACGATATGATCGAAGTGGATGATAAGAATCCTATTAGTATAAACACCACTGAAGAAATTAGTTACATTGCAACGGAAGTTAATGATGATGGTCGTGAAGAAGATCATTGTATTCTTGGTAATCGGTCCCTACAATTCAGAAATACGGAAATTGATGAAATCGTGGATAGTATGCTGCAGCGAAGAAAACCGCACAAAACAGCCACTTCCGCCAATTTGATTTTGAAGAAAAAACATCAAATCAAATTTCTCTAAAACTGTACGAATAAGAGTAAAACGGTATGCAGATTCGTAATCAGCGTACAAAACACTATAAGAATCACCCAGTGAGAATTGGAAAACAAATTCACTGTCGGACAGTGTAATCGAAACAAACGTAATATCCATAGAAATGTTCAGATTTCCGGGAAGATTGCGGCGAACATATCGATCTTTTTTTGTTAATAACTTTTGAATAAACAATAATTGGCGGTTTAAACCTATTGAATGTTACTCAGGAGGGCGTCCTTGATAATATATATCAATGTCAAGAAAATCGGGTGTGGGAGCTATTTGGAAGTTTATCCGATGAAAGTAACCCTTATTCTGATTATGTCCAATCAAACTTCAATACTGATGAATTAAGACCAATTATAAATGTTTTAAATGAATTAAAAAATGAAAAACAAACCTTGTATATACTATTCGCTAAAAACTTACATCATAATAGGATCGAACATAAAAACATTTTTGAATGTCTAATAACACTAAAGAATTTAATTGGAAAAAAATCATTTGTTCTTGTTCCGCCAGAAAAAGGAAATATCACCAAGCCTCACATGTTAAACGAAATGATAACTTTTATTTTTCCTCATAATGAAACAAAAATGTTTAATACCACAAAGCTGGTTCCAAAAAATCAAGATGAAATACAGTAATGCTTCGAAATAAGCAAGTGGTCTCTGCTTCGAAATAAGCAAGTCGCTATCCCCTCTTTTTTGTTTGAAGTCGCCCGCAAAGTGAGAGGTACGAGAAATGAGTGAGAGGTCCATGAAAGCGCGAAGCCGATGTTTAGGGTAATAAATTTCACGCTTGACTGAGCAGTGACATCGGTTAGTAGAAGAAGGATGGAATATATATAATGCTTTCTCAGTCTGGTATATTTGCTTCGAAATAAAGCATAGTGCGAGAATGAGAGGGCATGTTATATTCTATCCTTGTCCAGAAAATAACATCGCTGCTCGGCCGATCACTTTATGATTTGCCGCTACCTCGGATCTCTCACTCGTTTCTCGCGTTCTCTATCGTCCCGTTTCGAGAACAAAGTCAAGCCGAATAGCTACCTGCTTCGAAATAAGCAACTGTTCGGTCCCGAGCCACTTGCTTATTTCGAAGCATTACTGTATATCGTCCCGTTCATCATAGCGTTCAAGGTATCCAAAAATCAATTTTTGTAAAATTTCCAATCACATACAAGAGAGACGGCCCACGAGACTGCGGTCTTGGAAGTTTCCCCCTGGGACCGTCTCCTCTCGCCGTTCAGTAATTATTTGTCGAAAACCACACCGTCGTTCGAATCACAATCGCTGTTTTGAGCGGAACGCTATTTTAAATTTCGCCGGAACTATCCTGACAAGGATATGCAGGAAGATTGTGGAAAAGGTAGTTTAATAAAGAATCGAAATTCGTCACTCAATGATAACACAAATCACTTTTATTAACTCCGCTTCCGCGATTGAAGTTTTAATAAACGTGTAACTTCCCGGCGATACGTTGAAGGCGAAGCGAATATTGTCGTTTGAGTATTCGAGCAAGCGACAAGCGCGTTGTTAGAATTAAGCGAGACATCTGTATTGCGTTCGATGTTTTGAACAAAAGTGATCTATCGATCACCTACAGGCACCGCGATCACGCGTGGCGCCAGGATCGAAGGTTTGTGACGTCATTAACGGACGAGTTAATTTGTCGAGCGGGATTCTTAAACTAAGCGAAATTAATGAATAAAATTAAATCTTAACCTAATTGTAGTATTAATTTACAACCTTAACAATCGCGGACATAATAAATTAAATAGTCTTTCCTGATATTTTCCGATACAAATTTATGTTACATTTTCTCTTTAATATATTTCATTTTCATATTCTTTTTATTATATATTTCAGTTTCTCTTTTATGTATTTCTCACAGCTCGCACCTTTTGTTAACTAAACCGTTTTCATTGTTATAACTATTTTTCTGAAATTATACCTTTGTTACTCATATTCAGTTTCTAATTAAGTTACGTTCAAACACATTTCCTTCCTATACTTTCACGCCTACCATCTGCGCACAAATTCACGCGAGGGACCCGTATGGGACTAGAGCATTGACGGACTCAGCAGTAAATCTAACATCAAATTCTGCTGACTCCTTTTAATCGTTCTAATCGTAGAGGACGATCGCGAAAGTGATCGTCACAAGTGATTAGGACTGGTGGCAGCGCTTATACCTTTCTCAACCGCGTATTAACATTCCAAATAATTTCTTTTATTTTGTGCGGCGCGCGCCGTCTCTCGCTCGCGACGTAACATGGTGTATACTAATTTTATTATGCTACACCGGCATAAGCAGATATACGACGAAACGTACATCGTGCGCGCGATTGTACGCTGACAACACATAGTAAGTTACATATTCAGATTTCTTCTTTTCGTTGTAGGCCATAATATATGACGATAACAAATACAATAACAATTCAAAGATATTAAAATGGGGTGTGTTTCCGAATGGCCCTGTTAGAATTGAGAACTCGGGTTCGGCATATAACCTAAATTGACTACCAGAAACCGATTAAAATTGGTTTCAGAGCTGGATGTCTTACCGTTTTTGAGATATCGTGGTAAGAAGTTTTGTAAAATTCTGGGACTAAGTATGCGCGATTCACTACTGCGCATTCGGGGAACGTTAGGCGCATGCGTATTGAGGCTAATAAAACCATATAGACGATTCTCGCGCATTTTCTGATCATTACACTTCAAACTTTGAAGTGAATTTCAAAGCTTCAATTATCTTTCCGTAATTTCTTAAATTTTTTTTATAATTCCATTGTAGGTTTATTAATATAGCTTTTACGTTTATTAATATAGGTAGGTTAAAAATTAATACAGGTTTATCTATATAGATTGTAGATTGATTGTAGATTTATTAACACAGGTTACAAAATGAACGACAATCCATTGAATGGTCAGTGGAATATGTCTCGTATTTTTCGCGAGATAATTCCAGATCGAGAAATTTTGATACATCGGTGCCAACGTGTGGGGCTTCTCCTAATTCGGCGGTTTTGTCCGAAAAAGCGGAACAAGTTCCGAAGCCGTACCTACATTATAAGAATAGAAGTGAATAGGTTAGGTTATGCTACTTTTTATGGGGTGGGGGCGCAGGGGGAGGGGCGGTGCCCCACCCCCGCCCATTTATTTCACAATATGATGGAATAGTGACGTGTTGGCATGTTAACGTTATACTATAATCTGGGTACGGCTTCGGAACTTTTACCGTTGGATCTTCCGTACCTGAATACAATGATTGGTATGCATGAGTTGATAGTTTTTCCATTTCCGATGACACTTGAAGGGTGGTGGCTGCTGGGGAGTGGATTTAATAGTGCAATGCGCCCTTTAATAGCGCTAGTATATGTAAGTGTAAACTTGGGAACGGTAGAGCGGGTTATGAACCCCACGAGGCTCACAAAACAATGAGGTTAGGTTAGGTTCCGTGTATGCGCAGTATCGAATAGCATATGTTCAGTATTGAATAGTACATGCGCACTAATGAATTGCACATGGTCAGTATCGAATAACGCATACGTAGTCCCGGAATTTTACAAAACTTGTTACTACGATATTTCAAAAACGGTAAGACATGCAGCTCTAAAAACAATTTTAATCGGTTTCTGGTAGTCAATTTAGGTTATATGCCAAACCCGAGTTCTCAATTCTAACGGGGCCATTCGGAAACTTATCCTTAAAATGTATTAAATATCTTAACTGTACTTGTTTTGTATGAGATACATTTAATCATTTAATTGTGAGTTTCAGGAACGCTATCGTGTACCCCCGATGTTTTACCGTGAACTTTAAAACCTGCTATGGTGCTCCTGTATTTCATCTGTATATTCAATCATTGGTAATTTTGCACGGCTGTTTGTAAAGTTATTATTCTCATATTTAATGCTCTGTAAATTGTATAACGTTATTTGATAATTCCCACAATAAAATTGATAAAAATATGACTTATTTCGTGCGATATATAATTTCGCCTAAATTCCTGATCAATTTTTCATGTACGCGCGCATGAAATTCTTCGCAATCACAAAATTTTGTTTTGCACAAATTGCTTCTATCTTTTGATAATTATGTTCCTCTGTAAATATACAAGGATAGTTAATCAAGCTATTTTTAATGAAAAAATGTACCTTGTCATTAATTGTAAGATATTTTTCTTTTCTTATCTTCCTATCTCCTTATAAATACCCGGTCTTCGCAACTAATTCATTGTCAGTGTCATTGGTACTTTTTCAACTGCACGTAGCATTAGTTATCGATAAAATGGTGAACATATATCCGGCAAACGTAATTAATTTACTGGTAACAGCTCTACATACAGTGTGTTTCAGAACTCGCATTGGTCCCGTGAAGGGGTGGTAGCTAGGGTGATTCTGAACAATATTTTCCTTTGCAAAAATGTCATTTGAAGCTTCGTTTTTGAATTATTAAGGAAAAATACTGACGAATCAGAGCGCGTATGACGCGCGGGCTCCGGAGCGGCAGCGTCAGCTACGAAAGCGGGGCTCGTCGTAGGTCGCGAACGAACGGCTCGGCACCCCGTTGGTATAACAGGCTAAAAAAATTGTACTGGTTGAACATTTTTAGTCGTTGTTTAGAATGAATACGGAACCTAATCTCTTGTCGCCTGTCATTATGTAAAAAAGGAAATTCTAAGCATTCTAAACAACAAATAAAAATGTTTGAAATGGAATAATTAATAAAGGTTTGAATTGGAGGTTACGTTAATGATGAAAAATTTGAAAACAATTTAAATGAAACTTACCCATTAATTCCTAAATTAACCTGCTACGCTGAAAGCAAATAATTCTTACTGGGTCACTGTGTCGATCCTGAACATTCGAGGAGGGAACACATTACAAAGAACTGCTGATCTCCAAACGAGATCATTGAACTCACTTAACCACACGGTCACTATCACCTTTCACAGAATTTTCTTTCACGTAAATAAAC